TGCCCAGGGTCCATCTGGCTCCTCAGGTGAGCTAAAATACACTCACCACCTAAACAGAGTTGGGGTGGAGCATTCAGGCAGGCCCCCAGGGTATGGTGGTCCGACCATGGGACTACCAAAGCAGTAATCCGGTCCACTGTTACCCCCACCGTGAAGATCAAATTGAGCAGGTGTTCAGTTCGGTGAGTGGGGGCCGTTACATATTGGGAGAGTCCCAGTGCCTCCATGGATGACACTAGGTCCACTGCCCGAGTTGAGGTTGCGTCATCAGCATGGATGTTGAAATCACCCAGGATTATCAGTCTAGGGTGTTCCAATGCCCAGCCCGATACAGCCTCCATTAGGGACAGCAGGCTATCAGCCGGTGCTTTAGGCGGTTGGTACACCAGCCAAATCACCAAACTCTCCCTGGCTTCCCATACCAGGCCGACACACTCAATGCCCATGATCTTCAGTGGCAGGAGTGCCCTGAAGGACAAAGCCTCCCGGATGAATAGAACCACTCCTCCCCCCCCCGCCCCCTAGTCCATGATTGGTGCAGGACCGAGAACCCAGGGGGGGCATTTGGGAGAGAGCCACTGTCTCCCCCTCCCAAACTCAGGTTTCGGTCACGCATGCCAGGTCTGCATTCTGCTCTTGCAGGAAGTCCCTGAGGACCATGGTCTTATTATTTATAGACCTGGCATTACACAACACCAATGACGGAGGGGGGTTCATTATCCTAGCCCCACTGCCGACATCCCTCGGGATGGGATGCAGGCTGGAAGAGGGCCAGTAATTTAAATAAAGGCCAGATAAGAATAATTCTATATATATATATATAATTTCCTTCTATTTTCTTCTCTTCTTATCAATACTTAATCAAAAAGCAATCACAATAATTAGTTCTAATTGGTTGGAGGTCCTACAGCTAATTCCAATTGGAATCCTATAACTAATAACAGGCCATATTCCGCAAAAGTTAACCCAATGAGATACAACTCCTCTGCTTTGATAATCTATCAAGCATTAAACAATAAACCATTTCTAATAACTAGCTCAAGTAGTTACCTTCACTAACTCCTAATAATAAGTATCATTGCATTCACTACCATTGCCCTTAATTTAAATTAGGGCTTTAGTTCTGCCTCCTGTAACTTAGCAGCAGCAGCAGCAACTAAGTGCTTTTATGATCTACGTTGTACACTCAATTTGTCTGCCGATAGGAGTCCTTCAATCTTCAATTTGTCTGCCAGTAATAGTCTCCAGATCTGCTTAAGCTGTACTATTACTATGAGGGGGATCCAGATGCCTCTCCTTGTTATCCTACAGGGGGGTGTCCAACGCTCCGTCTTTTGGCCTCTCCTTATTTTGAATTCCACTCACCACTTATCTTATTGTTGTTGCTGTCAGCTGGCTGATAGGGCCCAAAGAAACTGCCATCTCCTCAACTCCAAGTCTAGCAGACTCAGTGGAAGCACCGCTGCAGTCGTGCTCGCCCGATGATCCTGGGCTCGGTATAGTCTAACTCGGCTGGAAAGTCCCATTCTTGCCAACCGTGTTCTCAAGGCAGATGCCACAGCCTCAGTCAAACAGCCCAGTCAGCCAAGCGTGAGCACCACCATATCTGTGGCTGCCCGGCAGGCTTGCGTCTGGTGGAATCTGACTTGGCTGAGGGCACCCGGGGGGGGGGAAGAAACCCTCCCCAGGCCCTCTAGCCGCCTCCCACACTCTCCAAGTTGTTACTATGGTCGCAGTCGTGCAGTCAGTCAGCAAAGTTGGGGCCGTATGATCCCGGTCCCAAGATGGCGGCTGCACCGATAGCACAGGGCTCCCAGAGCTGCTGCCTGCATCTCCAGTGTCAGCAGGGACGCAGTGCCAAGCTGAGGAGCTGTGCATCGAGCCCACTAAGCCAGTCCTCCCTGGGCTCTCCTCTGCGTCGGCGGTGTACCAGGCAGAAATGGTAGGTTTCGCGCGGCTATCTGGCTCCTCACCACCCTCTGTGCGCATCAGCTGCTGATGTCCAGGCTCTCCTAGCAGATGCTACCAGTCTCTGCTAGTTTAAGATAGACTTTGAGGATCTTTTGCGAGGAGTGCTCCTCACATTGCCACCAATATGGAATGGTGGCAATCAGAGTGGGATAGCCATTGTCTTCATATTTTTTGCAGGTGTGGATGCTAATTTAATATACTTCAGGCTGAAAAAGGCCTGGCCTGGATAGCCCCATCTGGTTAGCTCTCAGAAGCTAAGCAGGGTCAGCCCTGATTTGTACTTGGATGGGAGCCCATCAAGGAAGTCTATGGTTGCATCACAGAGGCGAGCAATGGGAAACCCGCTCTGAATGTCTCTTGCCTTAAAAACCCTACAAGGGTTACCATAAGTTGGTTGAGACTTAGCAGCTAAGAAAGGGCTCAGAAACCTTTCATCTTCAGATGTTCAAGATGAGTATAATGAGTTGTAGCAGTTGTTGCATTTTCCACAATCAGTCTCCTAACCCAGGCAACGAAACTCCTATGTGCGTTGGTTTGATGCTTGAATTTTTATTCTTATTAGTGAATTGACTAGACCATAACTCCTCAGTTTGCTGCTTGGAAATATGCTGTGTAGACAGTGCCAGCTGTTCTCAAAACATATTGCAGGATGTACAGCTGGTGCAGATACAGCCTGAGATACCTGCCACACTGCCACAGCTGGCCTTTGATCATGGCTAAGGTTTTAAACTGAGACTCAGTGATTCATTTAAATGGCTGTAAGGCAACAGACTTTTAGACCAGCCATATGATCACAAGAAATTACAAGATTTGTGTGGTGAGCACTGCACTGATCATCTATCTAGCTTCTCTGTCCTTACGAGACCCACTTTTTGGGAAAGCATTGACAAGTATGAATCGTGGTTTTAACTTCTTCTCTAATTAAAGGCCTTCACTATCCATTCTTCCCCCCCCTTTAATAATCCCTCATTCTCTCTTACATTATTATTGTTGTTGTTGTTGTTGCTGTAAAATGTTCCTTTGGGAGAATGCTTTATACAGCACTGAGTTGATTGCAGTGGAAGTGCCAAGGTAAACCAGTCGCTGCATCTAAGCTCTGGAGCCCTGAAAGTGATTCTATAATTGAAGTCCACGCAGACACTTTTGAGTGGAAACAAGCTACCAATTAAACCTATTATCCTTGTCAAAGGGCAAGGAGAACAGCCCTAGTACGTTGCAAGTGGGCGAAATAGTAGGTTGCTATTTCTAATCTGGGAGTATCAGACTCATTGAAGACACCAGAAAAAGTTGCCCTCTGGTGGGAGCATTTAGAGAGAAATCAACCGTCTTCGGGAAGAAGAACTGTGTGGCAGGAATAGCTATGGCCCTGTACCCTATGTTGTTATCTGCTCTGTCCCCAGATTGAGGTGGATGCTTTTGAGGTAAGGCTGTTTGCTATTTGCCTTGCTCTGACCACCCAAATAGTCAGAACTACCATAGGCAAGAGCAAGGTAATTCCATCAAGCCCAGTCCTATCAAGATTCTAACTGCCATAAAAATCCGCTGTCCAGTGAAGACCTGTGTGGCAGGAATGGCCCTAATCCTGTACCCTTGATGATATGCAAGTTGCTTTAAAGATGAAATCTTTGAAAAACATAAAACACAAACCAGGGCTGAGGATTTCATTGGCTTCAGTTCATACTCATTCAGAGGAAACTTGGAAAAGATCTCCCACTACTATGAGAGAGTGACCATTTAATGACAACTTGTAGAATGTCACACTACTCCAGTGGCCATTCACAGGTATCAGCCCCGTAGCCAGGAAATTTGTAGTGTGTGGGGGGTGTTATAAACTGAGATTGAGGCAGCGTTTCCAAAACAGTGATTTCTTTATTCAGCTCAGAACACAGCAACACAGCAACAACACTCAAGAGCGATGCAACTTTATACATTTTGAACCAGGGAAAACCACACCCCCTAGCACAGTAATGACCAATTACAATTGAGAGCTTAGAACCAATGGGATTCATTCCTGCCAAAGTTCAGAGTCTTTCCGGATTGGTCTGTTACGCAACCATGACCAATCCGACTGCAGGGTTTAGAATACCTGAGAGTCAATGGAGCTTGTGCCTGAAGTTCTGGTGTAGGTTGCATAGCATAACATAACACAAAAGCAAATGCATAACAGGGGGGCACTGGGGAAACTGGTGGGGTGTGATGTCACAAAATAAAAAAAAAAAATAAAATAAAAAGCACCAGATGGGTCCCTGGAATTCGGTCCTGTGGTGGAGAGCAAGTGGATATACCTGAGGAGAGAGCATGTGGGAGCCAGCCAAGAAGTGAGCATGCGGGATTCGGTGGTGAGAAAGCCTTCATGGTCCTGGGCACCTTCCTACCTTTGTGCTCTGCTTCCTGCCTGCCATACCCCTGCTGGCCTGAAGAAGTGTAACCCACTGTGGATTATTTTGTCGAGATTGGCTCTGGGTGGGCAGACTAGTACCTCACTCCTGCAAAGAAGCGGCGCCGCGGGGGTTGTGTTGGGTTTTTTTGAACACAAGTGTTTGCATGCGCCGTTGGGTGCTTGTGCGCACCCGTGGAGACGTGACCAAAAAAAAAGTTTTCGCTACGGGACATGGGTGGGCGCCGGATGCCACGAGCTAACACCGGAAACGTGATCTGACGCCCACCCTTGCCCCGCGGTTTCCGGAAACTAGTACCTCGGAAGTACTAGTTTTTTACAGCGCATCTTCGGAGTGAAGCCACGGGAGCTCTACGCTTCCCAGATGTGGCGGTGAGATCGAGCCCGGAAAATCTGCCTATCTTCCGTCTCTCTAGCATGCCTAATGCTCTGTGTGACCGGGGGCATAAATTGTTTTTGAGTAGTCACACAATTGCACTTTGTACTATAATAATGGCTTTGTTCCTATTGATACCCATGCCTGATGGAGATTAGGATGAAAGGCAGGATAGAAATAAAATAAATTCTATAAATACACATGTGAATGGATGTGTGCTATGTACTCATCTTTTCTGTTCTTGATGCTTTTTAGGCAGGAGGAAAACATTATCACCCTACTTGTGCCCGATGTGTGCGTTGCCACCAGATGTTCACCGAAGGTGAAGAGATGTACCTCACAGGTATGAAACCAGTTCAAGGACCATAAGGTCACACTATGGAATGGGCTGTCTACTCTCATCCATGCCTCACAGGTGACCAGGTATGAAAACTGACACATCTGAAATTGTTTTAAAGCTGTTGTGACCACAGCTTGAGAGACTCTCTTTCTGAAGGTTGGCATGAGCCTGTTCTGTGTGGGCTCCATCCTTTCCTAAAGGGCTCTTGACTGATCTTCACGACACTTCACATGGAGCAGAGATTAAAATTAATGAGGCCTGTTTAATGGAGGAAAAAGGAGCTGCGGTGGCTCAAGTGGTTAAGATGCTGAACTGCAGGCTGTGGAAGGTCAGTAGTTCAGCAGTTCAAGACCCAGGGTGCCGCATGATGGAGTGAGCTCCCGTCTCTAGTTCCAGCTCCTGCCAACCTAGCAGTTCGAAAGCAAGAAATTGCAAGTAGATAAATAGGTACTGCTTTGGTGGGAAGGTAACAGCATTCCGTGCGCCTTGGTGTTTAGTCATGCCGGCCACATGACCACGGAAATGTCTTCGGACAGTACTGGCTCTTTGGCTTTGAAATGGAGATGAGCACCGCAACCCTAGGGTCGGATTCGGCTGGCTTTCGAGCAAGGGAACCTTTACCTTTACCTTTAATGGAGGAAGGAGTCAAGATTTTCAAATGGAGGATACATAATTAAATCACAAAGAAAACTTATTCAAGCTTTCTGGCTGTAAAACTTCAGCTATAACATGTGCCTTCAGTCTTTCTTTCTGGGGAGGATGGGTATCTTTGGAAGTTCAGGTTTTTTTTCTGTATGTTTATTTCAGTTTGATGGGGAAAACTGTTAGTCCCGAAAACAACCTTTAGTGGCTTGTCACCCCGAGTCACTAATTACTTGGTGTCTGTGCATTAATTACAGGGCTGGTTCCTTACCACCCTCGCACTACAAGAACTTAGGAATGGGTTGGTTCTTATGTGGGGTGACAGTTGACATTTAGCTTGTTGAGGAGGAGTGGATATGCCATTAGTGTCACATTGGCCCATCACCCAGGCTGGTATGAGCAGAAACCCTGCCACTGGGATGTGGGTGTGGGGAAAGAGCAACTCCCCCAAACTACTGCACCTGGCCATCATGCCTGATCTTCAGCCAAGAAGAACTGCCTGTTACTATGGTGATAGTGGCCTTGAAATGTGTGGTACCTAAACGTTGGGTAAGGAGAAGGAAGAATAATTGTGCTTTGGCTATGGCAGCTGGTGAATCATTCTGTGCCTGGGAGAAGACTAGCTGGATGGTCCTGTGAAGGTCAGGATAACTTAATACTCCTTCAATATTCCAGTCATATTTAAATGCACCTGTACTGCTCATTAGCATGTACCCAGAATAGAGCTCAAGATGTTAAGATTCCATTTCCAGCTGCAATCAAAACTGGAATACCTCTGCCTGTTCCAGTCTCTTCCTTAAGGTGGGCTCTTTTCTTTACATTGCCTACTTTACTCTTGGATCCACTGGTAGATCACCCTTGTTTTACAGTCCAATTACTGTAAGAAGGGTAATGTCTGTTTCTCACAGAAGATAACCATTCAGGACAACTCAAAACACCAGACTGGAGCACATGTGTCTTGCCTAGGAAATAGACTTCTGTGTTACATTTTCTACATTATATGCTTCTTGAAACACTTGTGTGCATTGGTGGATTTTTAAAAAGCCTGTACGGAGATGGTTTGTGACATAAATTTATTTAATCCAGCCAGATCTTTTCCTGAAAAGTTTAATGTTTTTGTTGGGAAAAGCTAGTGACAAGCTGCCTGTGAAAATGCACTTGCAGATCCAGTGTGAAGATACCTGCACATCGGGTGTACCCAACCTCCATAGTCTTCACTGTTCCAGTCCTCAGCTCATAGTTGTCTTCCCATGTTGTTTGCAGTGCAGGCAGCAATGATGGCCAGACCAGGTGGTGATGGATTCTGCATGTTATGCCTCTGATAGAAGGGAGCTAGGATGCTCGCATAGAGAGTGGTCCTTGCTACTGTGAGGAAAACTTGCAGACCTTTGCCTTCTCCTGAAATAGGAGCTGAAAGAAAGAAGCAAAAGCAAGCTACAGATCAAGAAAATGCTAGTCTCCTAGAGTCCTAACTCAAGTCTTAGCAAGCTGATATAAAGGAAGCTGACTGTTGTGCTAAAGTTCATTATGCCTATTGTATTTTCCTGCCTGCAAAAACAACTCAATCAATTTCAGTTCAGGACTGAAATTGTCAGATCCCTGTGTTGTGTATCTTAGCCACAAAAAGGAGCCATGTTGTGTGTTGGGGGAGCGACGATGTGGATGATAGCCATGGTGTTTGGGAAGGGCAACTCTTTGCCCCTGCACCTTTCCTCACTCAACATTCTTGTCCTATTGTGGTAGGAAAAAGAAGACAGACACAGTGCAAGTACCTGTCTTTAATTCTTTTCCTCTTTTTTTGCATCATGTCACAACCAACTTATGGTGACCCAGTAGGCTCTTCAAGGCATGAGACATTCAGAAGTGGTTTCCCATTACCAGCCTCTGTGTAGCAGCCCTGGACTTCCTTGGTCATCCCCCATCCAAGTACTAACTAGAAACAACCCTGCTTAGCTTTTGAGATCTGACAGCTATCCTGGGCTTTCCAGGTCAGGGCATTTTTAATCCTTAGCAGGGTGGAAAACAGCCCAGGAAGGTACATATTGGCCAAAAGAAACAGGCGGCAGCGGGATCACATAGATCTCCTGAGCTGCCGCGCAGTTCCTCCCCGGCACGATCAGATGCCGGGGGGGGGGAGCTACTGAAGGGAGAGCGAGGCTGCCGAGCTGCGCATGTGTGCCCGTGCACAGTTCGGCCGGGAGCCTGGATTGCTCTGGACGACGGGCGCGGTGGCGATCCCATGGCCACGCTTGCTGCGGTGCTTCAGGTAAGTCCTCCTCTGTAGGATATTCTTTTTTGCAGTGGCTTTTCCGGGTTTAGGGACAGATCGGGGATGGGTGTGCGCCGCTTCCCAGATGTTGCAGTGAGATCACACCCGTTTGCTGCGCCCCCGATCCATCCCTCTCCCGGGCCAAAATCTTCCGTGTGACCGGGGCCTTTAAATCAGGAGAACAGCATAGCATAGGGAGAAGTAAACCTCCACTTGCCCAATGCTACAGACCCAAATCATACTGGTTCTTCCCACAGCTGTTTTTTGCATCTGAGTTACATGTCAGGAGATCCCATCACTGTTCCTCAGGCCTATAGTTTAGCCCATAGAAGTCTACAGGATCTTTGAGGTTTTTCAGTCATCTGGCAATTTAAACGACACATCTTTGTACTGCCATGAAGACAGAAGTATATCAGATTTGAGCTATGAGGGCACTGTGTATCCAAGAGGGGGAGGGAGCTTGTGATCTTACTTACTTACTTACCAGCAGCCAGAAGTAGCTAGCTTCAGACCTGGAGCTGTAGCAGTGATCCTAGGAAGTGAATACAGCCGCAGATTTGAAGCATGTGGAGTCATATTACAATGTCAAAATTGTGTCTCTTCCTAGCATCCTTCTTGTGAGCACCAGCAGATAGTATGTGCTGTAACCACACCATTAAGGGGGAAGGATCTTTTAAAAAGTTAATAAACCCCATCAGATGAATGACATGCAGGGTCATAAGTAGGTCTAAGAGCTTGTCTGCTTCCCTCATTCCACCAGACAATCTCTCCCTTATAATAATTGAGTAAGACGCAGAGGCACGCAAATGCGCACCTACAGTGTTTGGATGAATGCCCTGTCCGTCAGCACCTTCCCCGGAGTCCATTCGACGTCTCGCCTAACGCCCACCTCGGAGCACTCCCCCCCCCAAGACGCAGAGGCACGCAAATGCGCACCTACAGTGTGTGGATGAATGCCCTGTCCATCAGCACCTTCCCCGGCGTCCATTGGACGTCGTGCCTAACTCCCACCTCGGAGCACTCCCCCCCCACTAGCCAAGGCGGGCGGGAAGGGGCTTGCCGCGCCCACCTTCCCTGTGCCGCCGAGCCCTGCGCCACGGTAACTGCGGCCACTTCTCTGGGGGCGACCGGACCCCGCTCCGCCGCCCCCGCTTTGCCGTCTGACTTCTTCCTGAGGTGGCCAGCCAGGCCTGCAGTCGGCCCAAAGCCTCGCGCCCAGTCCCGCCTGCCTGCCTTGAAGGAGACGCCAAGGCGAGCGATGGCGCGCTCCAGCGACACGCGGTGGCAAGTCCCCCCAAGACCACCGCCTGCCTCCCTCGGGGGCCAGGCGAGCCCCCCACGACCGCTGCCACCGACCCCAACCGCCGCGGCTCCCTCACCCTTCGAGGCGGCGGTGGACACAGCCCCTTCCCGCCCGCCTTGCCTCGGCTGCGAGGAGCTCCCGTTTCGCCGGACACCCGCCCTCTCCACGTCTGGCCTGGACCGCGCGCCGACAGGACACGACCCACCGAGGTCAGCCTCCCCATGCCCTTCGCTTCTCGCCGGCACCGCTTTAAAAGGTTACTCACCTGCGCGAGCCAGGCCCACTCTCCGGGACGCCTGCGACGAGGGGGTGCCCCGGCAACGCGCGGACCCAGACCACCCCCACACACCCGCTAGCGCTCGTTGTATTCATACCTGCAACGGGCCTTTCTCCTAGTGCAGCTATAAAACGGGAGGCAAAGAATGGAAAGGGTGTACCTGAAAGTTACTTTAGTAATAATAGTCCTCACAAGGGATGAGTATGAAGTGCATTTTTGCAGCTCAGTTTGGTTCATGGTTCGTGGTTCATTAATTGACCTGGTTCGTATTGGTTTGTGGGCCATTTAAAGTTTAACCCCCAGCTTTCTGCTCCCTGTGGATTTTTGTATCTGATGAAGAGAGCTGTGTTTCTCGAAAGCTTATGGTACAATGGAGTTTGTTGGTCTTAAAGGTGCTACTGGGCTTTTTACTATTTTTCTGAATATTGGCTTTTTCACTGCCCACTACTCCAAAAGAACAATCCTTAATAGAGTAAGAGGATTCTAGTGAGTGTTTTACTAAAGGGCCCTTCCATTGTTATGTACTATATTACTGATATTTTTACACATTTGTAAGTTCTCTGGTGGTTTTATCTATGTAATTGTTACACATAATGGCACCTATGACTCAGGCAGCATTACAGCAGGCAAAGTTTCTAAGCCTGTCCATAAGAATAATGAAATCTCTGGCTGTGTAGTGACAATGCTTACTAATGCCACAAGAAAAATCTCCCTGAAGTATAATTGATTCCGCCCAAAGATGCTGAGTCAGTATTGTTTTGGCTAGATATGAAGGTATCCCCTGCCGCTGCTTTTGCACCAGCTTTTCACTGCCTCTTGCCACAGACAGTGTTGCTGTTTCACACTGCTCACACTGCCAAGCCAACTGTTCTACAAGGCCAAGAGAAGGGACTGGGTTAAGAGCATCATGTACTCACTTAGAACTGGAGTACCAAGTAATCATCTCCAGAGTGCCTCTTATAGTGGTGGAGTTGCATACTCCTATCTTATTGGCATCCAGGACAAATGAACTATTTCTCCAGTGAGTGGCTGACCCTAGGTGGGTCTTACGTATAGAAATCATACTCTGGGAGGTACTAGTTGGGATTGAAGTAGGATGTATTCATGGCTTGGCTTACATGCTTGAGCTAGCTAAAGCTATTACTCCAGAGACGTCTTAACACAACACACCAGTTTACCTGTGTCACAGTGAGGGTCACTCCTCCACTCCTCCACTTGCACACTGGCTGTAAACTGCTCCTCCACTCCTCCACTTGCACACTGGCTGGATAACCTTGGGCAAGTCGTAGTTCTGATAAGAGCTGTTCTTGAAAAAAGAGCAGTTTCTGTCAAGAGCTCTCTCAGCCCCACCTACCTCACAGGGTGTATGTTGTGGGGAGGGGAAGGGAAAGGAGTTTGTAAGCCGCTCTGAGACACCTTTGGGTTGTGAAGGGCAGGGTATAAATCTAATCTCTTCTTCTTCTTCATATGGTTTCAGCAGTTGGATCTGATCCCCTTCCCCTGACTGTTGTTAGCAACAAAGGAAAAAATAAAGAGACATCTTCCCATCTTTTGACATCTTTTTTTTCTTTGAGGGCTAATAAATTTGAGTGAATATATGTGTGTATAGTTTGTACATATCAGTTTAAATTGGTGAAATCCCACCCCCAATTGTACATTCTCACACTGAATCAGGCCCCTGCATAGCTTCTATCAGCACATTTTAAATGATGGGAGGATCCAGTCACAAATTTCTCAGCATCTTCTCTAGTCTGACATGGGGTCCTGGGCTGTGAAAGTTGTAGGACTGGAAGTGGACAGTCCTGCCTTGTGGCAGCGCATTAGACAAGGTGACCTTTTGTTCCCTTTGAACTCTATCATTCTGTCATGCACCATTTGCAAAATCACAGAGATGGGAACCAGAACAGCATGGTTGCCTTTTAGTAGTAAAAACATCCTGAGTGAAATGAATTTGCTACTGTCACATTTGCCCCAATATAAAATGGTCATAGTTGTAACTATTGCTGTAATACTGGTGGTATATTTGTTTGTGGCACAAATGCCAAGTATCTTGGACTATTAAAAGCTCACATGCCAAAGTACTTATGTGCAATGTTCAGAGGGTTCCAGAACTTCAATACTAGGGATCAAGTGGTCCAGAATAATGGGCCACCTTGAAGACAGGAGGAAGAGTAGAACTATCCTGTGAGCACTGCAGACCAGGGCTAAGGAGAAGTTAAAGTTTTCTCATGTTTTTGTTATGAAGCTGGGTAATATCTTGGATTCTCAGTAAAGAGTTTTATATCTGATGCTTTAGTTTCCTGTGTTTCAGGCTCAGAGGTGTGGCACCCCATCTGCAAACAAGCAGCAAGAGCAGAAAAGAAGTTAAAGGTAAAAAAAGAGCTGGGGGCAGATGGGAAGCAGAATTTTAGCTATGGATGATTGCATTACCTAACCTGGGAATATATCTATGCCTGCCTGGGAAGCCATGTCTAATAGAGCAAGTGAGGAAGAAGTGGAAATCTGAAATTTAGCATTTGAGGGATTTGGTCTACAGGGATGTGATCACTTGGATTAAGATGACATACTCAAATAACTCTGAAAACATAATCAAGGTGGCCGGTCCATAGTTGTGGGCTTCAGCCTTAGTTTTGACTCTTGGAGACTTTTCATATGCGATGTGGGTGTCATATTTGCTGCAACCACACTGGTATTTGCTGTGGTAACTGTGCACCGTATGAAAGGGGAGTGTGCATCTCCAGACATTTGGGGATAAGTGGTAGACTATGGTCTCACACTCTGCATCTGAATAAGGGACACAAGGAGCAGAACCTCAGTAGAAAACGTACAAGCTCATAGGAGAGTAGGTGGTCCTGGAGATATTCCTGGTAAAGAAACATGTGATGTCACATAATCGCTTTCAGTGTTTCACTGCCACCTCCTTGTATTGGAGTTTGAGGGTGGGGGAGGTAGAACAGTGAACACAATTTCATCATGTCCTACTTTTCTTTTACCAAACATTACTGGAGAGGCACATGGGATGTGGGTCAGCAGCAGCCATGTATCCTATGTAACACCTTGTCAGTCCCTCAAGTATAATTAATTAGCATTCACTGGTTGCCAAGTATGATCTGAAAGCTTATGATATATCACCCTTGCTCTGGTTAAGTCTGGGTCTGGTCACTGCCGAAATGAAAGACCTCCTGAGACTCTAAGGTACATTGCCTTGAATTCCATGATGGAAGGAAGGTGGGATACGGATGTGATAAACAAACTATAAGCCAATTGCAACAGTGGACACCCTTCCAGCATGAATTGATAGAGTGAATGTGTTATCTGGCTCTGATGTCACCTGTTCAGATAAACTACATGGATGGATTGCTGGAGTAAGGACTGCAAAGTATTTTAGTAAGTGGAAAAGCACACTGAAACATAAAACAATGATGGTTTCATAAACAGAGGCCTTACGGGCAAGCAGATGAGAATGTTTTGCCATTGCTGAAGACATACATGCCCACTCAGAGATGGTTAAACAGTTTTCTTCCATGCAATGGATTTGGCAGAGGCTGTGAACATTTTGGTTTATGGTCCATTTTTGTTGCTTTTTCTCTCCTACACAGCACAGAAGAACTTCTGAAACATCCATCTCCCCACCAGGTTCCAGCATTGGGTCCCCCAATCGTGTCATCTGTGTAAGTACAACTCTGTTGCTGAAAGAGGCACATGATATCTGTAACTAAAATTTACAACTGCTGGTGAAACGTCAGGTCCTACAATGCCAAGACCATGGTCACACAGCCCGGAAAATCTACAACAACCAATGAAGTCCGGCCATGAAAGCCTTCGACAACATATTAAAATTTATAGCTTCTACAGGTGCCACTGAGGAAGCATGTCCTAGGGGTTCCAGGAGAGGTGAAAAGACATCATCTAATCCAGCTGTTGAGCCCAAGAATCATAATGGGAACAGAGTCTGCCAAACAAACAATGCAGATGAAACATTTGACATGTTTAGCATGAGATGTGGACATCCTCTCTCGAATGTATGCATGCCTAATACAGCTTTTTGGAGTGGCATCTGACTGAAGAGCTGAGATGCATATACCCGAGGCAGTTCATGACGTTGGTCTCGAACTCCAAACTCCCATGCTCCTTCCCTTCATCTACCTGGAGAAAGCTCACACAAAGTTCAATCCTTCCCTCTTCTCACCTCTGTGGTCACAATCTGGATGTTTGCTCTGATGATGCCTTCATTTCTGTGTATTCCAACTGGCTCCTTTCACCAATGCCTGTTTCTTTACTGTTCTTTCTGTCTTCGTCCTCTGTCTTCCCTTTCCTTAGGCTAAAGTGGATAATGAGATCCTTAATTACAAAGACCTGGCTGCTCTTCCCAAGATTAAAGCCATCTATGAGGTGCAACGCCCTGACCTCATTTCCTATGAGCCTTATCACAGATATACGTCGGACGAGACACTGGAGAGATATAGCTATGGGGAGGTACAGCTTCTCAGCACTTTTGTCAGAGACAAAGGGAACCAGTAAGGTCAAAGTTCTCCAATGGAAACAGAGGCTTTTGGGGCCTCCATAGGTGTAAATGGCATTGATTTTGAGGGGGTTGGGAGTTGTAATAGAGTAAAAAAAAAACCCAAACAAACAAAACTCAGAACCCAATGTGGCTACACTTACTGCTTAGCACCAATCCTGTTAAAAGCTGAAAATGGCCAAGGGAAATCTGATGTGGCTTGTGTTGCCTTGCCAGAGATGGGAAATGGGATAAAATGCAGTGAGACTTCAAAAAGAAGGGCTTCCTCAAAGAATTATCCTTCAGTGTATCATATAAAAAGGGAGGGAGTGCTCTAGCTGTTTCCCAACGTCTCTAGACTTCCTTGATGAGGGAAAGACTCTCAGGAGGATGGATAAGGCAGATCTGCTCCCTGAACTGCAGCTCGTTGTATTATATTCCATTCTTAGAAACAACCTTCCCCTTTAGGGTGAGGGGTTGGGTCAGGAAGAAAAAGCAAGACTAGTCCAACCTGGACTTGCTAGTTTCTGTTGAACAAGAGACTTATTTGTGAAATGGAAGGGAGACGAGAGAAGTATGCCACTGTAGCAAGGTAAATGGTGTTAGCAACCCAAAACATCCCATTCCTAGTTTCACAGCTATCACTCAAAAGTCACATGGCCAGGAGGCAGTCTTTGAAATTACATGCATCAACACACCGGAAGCATCTTCTGTGGATTGGGCATCCCAGCTGAGGAGCAGCCAGATCACCTACCCTATTTTCCTTGGAACCATCCCATATTTTACTCTGTTAGTACCATGGAAGGAACAGTCACATTGTATGCTTTGTGAATCAAGACAGAGACTACATGGGTTGGATTTTGTGATCTGTAGGTGCAAAGATCATGGACCTTTCTGGCATTCCCTCCCCACAGCAGTCCGGCAGTCCCTCCCCACAGCAGGACACACATGTAGTAATAGCCACATGGGTCAGGAGGCTGAAGGGGGTGAAAATAATTCCCCCTTCTTCTTCTAACAGCAGAGCTCTCCCATGGAAGAGGAAGGAAGGAAGGAAGGAAGGAA